AGCAAAGAGAGTAGTGAGTGAACTGAGTGTAGAACATTGAATGCTGTGGAATAGTCGGAGAGAAGCAAAAGTAGGTTGGGGCCATTTTTTGAAAGATATTAAAGAAGTTTGAACTCAGTCTTATAGATAGAAGGGTACTATTGAAGATGTTTGAACCCGGAGTTGGTAGAGTAGCACAGAGGGTCAGTGTTTGAGGATTCATAAACTGGAGATTGAAATTATTTTGTTATGTAAATTTCATTATGAGTCCTTTGAACATCACAAATATAAATTTTAAAAATTATAATTTTGAATAATGCCATCAAAAATTTATAATAGAAGGGGAATACATGAAGATGAACTTTCTTATGGCAGTAACAATAGACTCTTTTCTGCAGTTATGACAATCTGTACATAAAAATTCTTGTTCCTTTTGGCCCCAGGGTTTATCTCAAAGGTCTGTTCTTGGTTTTATAATAAACAGATTATTCTTTCGGTGCAGAGAATACTTATTTTAAAAGGGTGAGAAAGTCCTAAGGGCTTTAATTATAAATTCTGGATGTCAAAAAGACTTCAAAATTGTACTTAAATAACATTAAATCTTTCAGAATGTACAATAGGTTTTTGTTTGCTTTTAATACTTGACTAAAAAGGCAGGTCAACATCTGAGCTAAACCAGTAAGCAGATAAACGGTCAAATGATTGTTATAGAAAATTAGCTTCTATCCCTTTTTCTTCAAGGCTATTATATACCAACCTGATTCACTTTGGCATGAATGAGACTTGCATCATCTGAAAAGTTTTTAAAATAGTATTTCAGTTTTATGGTTCTTACTTTTTAAAGAATTTAAGAGGATTGTATTATTTATGATTATGATTTATATCTGTTATATTGCTATTACCTTTACTTTCTAAATTAAACAATGAAATGAACAAATTGGTTATTTTACTTTCATTGGAATTCATCATAAGGTTTTTAGTAAGTATAAAGGAAATAAATTGTATATAGACATAAATTTCACTTAGATTTAAGTTTACCTATTTTTGGATTCTATTTAATAGAAAGTTTAAACCAATAGTAAACTGTATTGCTTGCTGATAAACGGTGGTACTTTTTAAAATTGCTCTAAACATTCTAGTAAGTTCTACATATGATATCAATTTGATTTTTTTTACTTTTCAGAAGATGCATACCAGAAGAAAGCAAGATTATTTGTTCCTAGAGTTTTGATTCTTCCTTCTTTGCTGTTTTTAAATTTGTAATTATAAATGTTATTTTAATCAAATCTACAATTATAAAAGTAATTATAAATGTTAGCATTAGTTTATTTTTTTTCCCTCTTATTTTTTTCCCGATTATTGATAATTCAATAATCGGAAACTTTTTTTTTAGTAGACTTTATTTTTTAGAGTAGTTTTATGTTCACAGCAAAATTGAGCATAAAGCACAGAAAGTTCCCATATATCCCTTGTTTCCACACATGCTCAAATTCCCCCACTTTCAACATCCTGCAGTGGTGTGGTATATTTATTACAGTTGACGAACCTACATTGACACATCATTATCACTCAAAGTCCATAGTTCACGTTAGAGTTCACTCTTAGTGTTGCACATTTTATGGGTATAATGATATGTATCCACTATTATAGTTTGATACAGAATAATTTCACTGCCCTAAAAATCCTCTGTGCTCTGCCTTTTCAATCCTCTTACACCGTTAACCCCTGGCAACCACTGATGTTTTCACTGTCTTCATAGTTTTGCCTTTTCCAGAATGTCATATAGTTGGAATTATATAGTATGTAGCCTTTCAGATTGGCTTCTTTCACTTAGTAATATACATTTAAGTTTCCTTCCTTCATGTCTTTTCTTGGCTTTTTTAGCTCATTTCTTTTTAGCATTGAATAATAGTCCATTGTCTGGGTGTACCACAGTTTATTCATTCACCTACTGAAGGACATCTTGGTTGCTTCCAAATTTTGGCAAGCAATTATGAGTAAAACTGCTATAATCATTTGTGTGCAGGTTTTTGTATGGACTAAGTTTTTAACTCATTTGGGTAAATAGTTAGGAACTTGATTGCTGGATTATATAGAAGAGTATATTTAATTTTGTAAGATACTGCAAAAATGTCTTCCAAAGTGGATATACCATTTTCCATTCCCACTAGCAATGAATGAGAGTTCCCATTCCCTCTGTTATGACTGGATTTTTGCCTATCTGATTATAGTAGAAATGATAGGAGTGATAAAAAAGATAAATCAGATCTACAATGTGCCCTCAATGAACATTCTAGTAGGTCAAACAAGATATGTACATTGAAAATAATTATATAGAGTGAAAAGTGGATGAGTGCCAGCAGAATGATATTAGGTAAATATATCGTGGGCATTCAGGGATAGAGAGACTAATGCAAAGTGAGTTAGAAGGAAGAGCTGTTGATTAAGCGGGGTGTAGATGGGTGGGTCAGACCTGAATATTCACAATTGTTCCAGGTCGAGTTGATTCTGAGATGGACCCTGTGGGTTAGAGGGAAAAGTTTGATCACAGGTACGGAGATAGGAGAGTGTGTGTCCTGTATAGATGCAGAATCAGGCTAGTGGTGGTTTACAGGCATTGTGAGAAAAAAACACAACTAGCATTGTAGATAAAAGTTCAGGTTTTGGAATCAGATAGACTAGGTTAAAATCCTGGTTCTAACATTTACTAGCTAGCTATATGCCTTGGACAAGTTATTTGGTATCTTTAAACCTTATCTGTAAAGTATGATTAATAGTACCTATCTCATGGGCCGGCCCGGTGGCGCACTGCTACAGTGCGCCGCTTGGGAGTGGGGCGGCGCTCCCGCCGAGGGTTCGGATCCCACATACAGACCGGTTCCCGCTCACTGGCTGAGCGAGGTGGGGGCACAGCGCCGAAGGTTGCGATCCCATTGCCGGTCCCGGTCCGGTACGGGCGTGACACTGAGGGTTGCGATCCGTTGCCGGACACGAAAAAAGACAAAAAGGAAAAAAAAAATAGTACCTATCTCATAAAGATTAAGTGAGCTAATTAGGTCAAATGCCTGCAAAACATATTCCATAGATGTTTGCTGTATAGAGTGTATTTTTCAGACAAAATTTTGAAAAGGAAGTCCTTCAAGCAAACAAATGAGAGGAATGCTATTCTGGTTGGATCTGGTAGATATTGAGGATAGAGGTTGTGAAAGATCATTGGATTTGGTGGCTCAGAGGATGGCCTATTAAATACAAGGGGTAGGTTGTGAGTGGTTGGCAAAGATATTAACTAATGCATCACAGGTACCTTCCTGAAGGCATTGCTTGTCTGGAGCCTCCCTCTCTTACTGTTTCATGTCAGGACTGGAGTATCATTTACAGGGAATAGCCCATATTGCATCTTAGCCAGATTCCTTGATTGACCACCATTAGTATTTTCTACATTGTGTTAAAATGCTGGAGAAGTAGCTAGAGGGCTGTTTTTCTTGTTTTCTCTCAATACTCCCAGAGTTTTAAAATTGCATGTAATAGAATTGAATAGAATTTTGTCTTCTACCAAAATAAGCCTGGATTTTCAACAATGATAATGATAAATTGATGTTCTGAAATAAATTGGCATTTTGAGGAGATAAAAGTGAAATTATGGATCAGATTGGTCTTTTGAGTCTGTAAGATAGCCTCATCCAATAAAACAGGCAACTCTATATTGGTCCTCCAGTATTACTTTTCAACTCTTACAGGCTTCTATAAACCAGAAGTCTAGGAATCATTTGAGATGGTTATTAGAGGAAAGAGTGAGATGGGGAAGGAATCTTTAGAAACATAAGGGGTAAGGTAAATCTTTCTTGTTTGTAGGATAAGAAACAGGAAGCATTGGTAGGTAATTGGAGAGGGGTTTGAAGGGCTAATGGAGAAGGATTACAGGGGAAGCTGAGGGAGGTCTGAATTGAATTGCAGAACAGGAAAGTCTTGATGTGGATTCTTAGGCAGATGTAAACTGTAATGGATGGAGTAGTGGGGCGATACTTTTATAATATGAGTTTATATGTTATAAAAAGATATAAATATACATATAAAGAGTTTTTAAAATTTATATATGTAAACTTGGAATTATGGCATTTATAATTCAAATTATTTTGAGTTGGAATTATAAAAGGACAGTTCTAACTTTCTGAAAATTTAGAAGTGTCTGAAATGTCCTCACGTTTTTTTTAAAGAAATTATCTTAGTCTAAGTTTTTTTTTTTTTTCCTTTTTGTCTTTTTTCCTGTCTGGCAACGGATTGCAACCCTCGGTGTTGCACCGGCACCTCGCTCAGCCAGTGAGCGGCCGGTCTGTATGTGGGATCCGAACCCTCGGCGGGAGGCGCACTGTAGCAGTGCGCCACCGGGCTGGCCCCCCTCTTAAGTTTCAACTCTTTTCTATTTCATACTTTTCTAGGTCTAGACTACATGGAAATAATTCAAGCTTGTGCCTAGTCATGTTGGAGACAGCTGGAATATGAATAAAACCTTTTTTTTTTTTTTTTTGTTTGTTTGTTTGTTTGACATAAATTATACAAATGTATGATTTTTTAAAAACTCTTTTGGATCATTTTTCTTTTCTGGAGCAGAGATTCTTTTCAGTTTTGATACTGATCATTATAGTGGATCCTAAACTTACTCTTTTTATTTAAAAAATTTAAGCAATCTTTTACGTGTTTTTAAAGTTAGAGTGGGGACTATAGAAACCAAATCTAATGTGATTATGGCAAGCAGATGTCTTAGGTTTTCTGGAGTGATCCTGATATTTCGATACTCTGTGTGATAGTCTGACAGTCTGTCTTTGTATTTGGCTCAGAAAACATGGTTGCCATAAATAGAGCTAGTCTCTAAATTAGGTGGCAGATTAAAGGATATAAATAGAGCTATAAGGAATGGTAACCCAATGAATGAGAAATCACTGTGGTGAATATTTGGCTTTTATTTTTTACCCAAGATTTATATTAAGACTGTATTTCATGTCATTGTTTCCTTTCTGATGTAGTTTTCAACTTGACCAACAACGTGGATTTGGACAACACCAAAAAGAAAATGGAGATATACCAAAAGGAAAACAAAGATGTCATTCAGAAAAATAAGTTGAAGCTGGTGGGTTACTAAGAATTTTCTTCTTTTGAATTAGAAACAAATGCTTCCACATGATGCTTTAAAAAGCTATCTTCCTTTAACACCAGTTACATTTACAAAAATAGAAATAAAAGTTAGGCCCAAAATATTAGTATATGTTATATAGGCATGTACGTAGGCAGGCATACATTACTGTAGCAAAAACAGCTTTGACGGCATTATGTTAGACTGTGCCTTCTTAAGGAAGTGGATCTTGTAGGTAGGTGATTGTTAATGCTAGTTTTGCCTCTCTGTATAATTCCCTGGTAAGTATGCATTTGGACAATGGTCACAAAATAAAGGAAGTTCAGTTTTATACATGGACATTAATTTCTTTCTCATCTAAAAGAAGGGGAAAACTTAGACAGACATTGATGGAGCTCCCAAGAGGTAGATAAAGAAAACAAAGACGCTATTTATTAGAAACTAAAATGAATTCATGATTAAATCAGAGGAACAAATTTGCAAGCTAAGCTTAACTTTGGTTTTCCTAATAGTTACTTTTTTGGTTTTGCTGAAATAGTAACATTTCCACATATAAAAGTAATTTTGGTTTGTTTTAGTTGATTTAATGTAGAACATTTTTTTTTTTCACTTTGCACAATCTCATTTATTTATTTATTTACTTATTTAATTTTACTTCTCAAAATACATTGTAGTTGATTTTCATGCCCCTTTACCCATTCCTCTCCACCCTGTCCCCGCCCCCCATCATATCTGTTCACTTGACTTAAATAATTCAAGGAATTTTTGTGGTTATTCTGTCTTCTTTCCCCCCACCCATCCTTTATTTGTTTGTGTGTTTATTTATTTATTTTTAGCTCCCACAAATAAGTGAGGACATGTGGTATTTCTCTTTCTGTGCCTGACTTGTTTCCCTTAATGTAATTTTAATGTAGAAAATTTTTTGAAATACTTTAGGACTTAAAAATAAAATATTAAAATGTTTTCTATAACGAAAGGATAATTGTGTGCATACAGAGATGTAATTGTCTAATTGATATAACTTAGCTATCTTTTTTTTTTTTGGCACAACTTGGCTTTCTAGTTTTGGGGGAAAGCAGAGGTAATTACTTTTGAGGTACTTTATCAGGAATTTGTAATCATCATTAAAAATGAGTACAAGTATAATTGGATCATGTAGCTTGTATTTTTGTTTTGTGTGTAGAAGGGACTTCCTCCTTATAGTCTTGTAGTGTTTCATTTAGGCACTTATTTCCTGCCATAAGGCTGTCAAGGAATTGACACTACATTCTCATTCTATTCATACCCAGCCTGGCTTCCTTAAAAAGGTATATCATTTCTGAGTGCATCAGTGTGCCGTAAATGTTACTCTCCTTGCCCAATAGCCTTCTCTGGGTACATCAGAAGATGCATGTAAAATAGGTATGCCTAAGTAACCTTTGCATTAGCCCTATTTAACTCAATAATGGAAGGTTGTTCTTTTCAAGTTCTTTTCAACTTTTTATCTACAGTTTTAAGCTAAGAATTAATATTGAGAGTTGCAATAAAAGAATAATCTAATTCTAGACTCTTTATTTTGAAGTAGGAATTTCTAATTATCTGAGAACTTTATAATGATAGGTCATTGAATAAAACAGGTACTTTATTTCATGCATGTTACAGTGAGATTATTTGTTGCTTTTATTTTTCCGTATTAATGTCTAGCACTTGGATATGTTATAACTAAGAGTTTTGGTGGGTAATTCATTATCATTTATTAATTGGTCATTCTGTGCAGACTATTTTACTTGTTAGTGATGCTTACCTGGGAGTTCGATATTGACATAAACAGACTTAGGACCACATTTTTTAGGATGGTGCTAATTAACACATATCAGGAACTATGGTCTTGTTGGATAGAGCGAGCCCTGAAGTGGTCCATGAAGCATGGGCTAACTTACATGGCTGGTCTTTTTTCTAACCTGAGGTGGCAACTTGCCTTTACTGTCTCTGTGAATTGCGAAGTCTCACTGTTCCAAAAATACTAGAATTGTATCAAAGAAGAAAAGAAAAAAGCACACTCTTGCATGATTAGGCACATAAAATGACCCATTTCTGACACAGAGAAAATATTATTGACTTGCCCACTGAAGAGATCTTGTTTCATGCAGCTGGCACTTAACATCAGTGTGAGCATGGAAAAACTGAACAAAGGAGATCTAATCTTGAAATAGAGTCTTAGTGAAGATTAGCTTAATTTTTATTTTCTGTTTTCTGGATTCTTGTGAGCAGAAGAAATTGCTGTGTAGCATGTTTAACAATTTGGCAAAAAAAATTCACTTCAATAAATATTTGAACATTTGGTAAGAATATTGTATACAAAGATGAATATGAGTTTTCATTCTCTAGGGATCAGGTAATTTCAATACAGTGTCATAAGCACAAGGAAAGAGCTATGTGCCTGTTATTATGTGAGCACAGAGGACGGATACCTAATTCATTCTGGAAAATTGGGAAAGGCATTCCAGGAGAAATGATGCCTGTATCCTTGAAGGATGAGTAGAAGTTACCCAGGTGAAAAAGATGGGACAGGGGTGGGTGTAGAGAGGTTGGCACATGGACATTCAGGCAGAAAGAAATCATGAACAAAGGCAAGAAGGCATGGATAATCATGGAGAGTTCTGAGAGTTTTAAGTAATTCTGTGCTTTTGAAGTCTGAAAGACAGAGAGGGCTGAAGTTGGAGAAGTAGAAAGGGCTTAGGGTCACATAAGATCTTATGCACTGTGAAAACTAATTTGGGCTTATATAGACCAGCTGTTTTTAGGTCTTGACAGGTGAAATTTTCTTCAAATGAAAGCTTACTCAGAATACTCTGGTTGAAGTGATAACGGGATGAGGGACAGGCTGGATTCTCAACTGGTCAATCTCTTCTTTAGTTTACCTTAAGTCATCTTATTAGGGAATTCCCTAGGTTCCTTAGAGCAATGTTATAAAAACCATTTGTTGATGATTGCTGTTGAAGCATTTTATGCAAGATAGTAAATAAGGTATTGTACTTATTAGGATAGATTTAGTGACTTTGTGGGATTGAATTCAAGAGGGGCAAGCCTGGAGTCTGGCAGACCAGTTGAGTTCTCATTCAATTATTGCAGTCATGTACGTAAGTTCCAAGATGACTAAACAAGGAATGGAGTGGTAGGAATGAATTGGAGAAATATTTTGAGTTTAAAATAGTCAGTCCTATTGATGGTTTAGAATGGTGAGGTGAGGAAAGGGAGGATGATGGGTAAGGTAATGCCATTAGGAAGAATAGAGTGACCTTTAGTCTTTCAAATTGTTTTATTTATCTCAGTCCAATATCTTCTTCAGTGTTCCCCTAATGTTTGATTTTTTTCTATTTTTGGATTTTTTTTAATGATCACTATTTTCCTAGTTATTTAGTCAGCTAGATAGCCAACCAATATTTATTGAGGACTATGTAAACCTGAAAGAAGAAACTAAAGCAAAAGTATAAAACAAAAAATTTATTTGGGCCAAGGTTTAGGACTGCAGAGTAGAAAAACACAAATTCAGGTTGCCTTGAAATTGTACTCTGCCTGGCTGTAGTTACAAACAGATTTTAAAGGGAGAAAGGAAGAAGTAAAGGGGCAGTTTCAAAGTTGTATGCCAGGGATTTGCATTGGTTTGCTAAAATAACTTGAGATACTGATTGGCTATACATTGCTCTTTCCATCATAAATTCCAGGAACATTGCGACAAAAAAGAGTGAGGGTCACTTTTTACAGAGATCGGACTAAGATTAGATAAGGCAGTTTGAAAGACTAAAAGTCACTGTGTTCTTCTTATAGTACTACCTGACCCATAATCTCCCTTTCTTCAATAGGACTATTTTAAACTCAAAATATTTATCTAATTCATCCCTAACTCTCCATTCCTTGTCTAAGTCATCTCTGAACTTATCTACATGGCTGCAATAACCTTTGGGTGATCTGTATTTGTTGGTGGTACCAGCTTGTCTACTGAAAATGTGCTTTTTAGTAATTTTCCGACACGGGCGAGGGGAATGTGACTGATGGTTCATCCTCATATCTCTCTGGGCCTATTAAATTTAGCAGACTTTGCTCTTCTTAGATTGTTCTGAGTTACTTTCTTTCTCACCTAGTATGTGCAGAATACTCATATATTATATTTCTGTGAGAAAACTGAGATTACGAGTTTCTCAGTTGCCAAAGCCAATAGACTCTATTAGTCTGAATCTCATTTGGCCCCTGGGCAATGTTTTGTGAAGGCTTTTTCTCTTGCTGTTGAAACTCTTGCCTTATGAGGAGCTACTCCGTCCTCCTTCTCATCCTGGTGCTCTTATCTTCTTTCATCCTCTTATGAACCTTATTTTCTTCCTGTCTCATAAATACAAGTTTCTCTCAGTGGTTCTCTTTATGCTGATTACTTTCAAATGTTTCTGCTGTCCATTGTTTTTCTCCTGAGCTCCTAGAATTATATTATGTAATATATCTGCGTATCTCTATATGGTTTTTAGACATTTCCTTCCGGATGTATTATAGGCACCTGTAATTCAGTATGTCCAGAACTAAGCTTTTTATCTTCACTCTCCTACCTGTTTTATTATGTTCTTTTTAAAGCTGTGTTTTATTTTATTGTGATAAGAACACTTAACACAGTATTGACTCTCTCGACTATAGGTACAATGCTGCACAGCAGATCTCTAGAACTTCAGAACTAAGCTTTTTATCTTCACTCTCCTACCTGTTTTATTATGTTCTTTTTAAAGCTGTGCTTTATTTTATTGTGATAAGAACACTTAACACAGTATTGACTCTCTCGACTATAGGTACAATGCTGCACAGCAGATCTCTAGAACTTGTTCATCTTGCTTAACTGAAACTTTATGCTCGGTGATTAGTAACTCCCTATTTCTCCCTCCTCCTACCCCTGGCAACCACCATTCTACTCTTTGATTCTATGAATTTGACTATTTTAGATACTTTATGTAAGTGGAATCATGCAGTATTTGTCTTTC